GAGGGAGGGAGGGAAGGAGGGAGGGAGGGAAGGAGGGAGGGAGGGAAGGAGGAAGGAAGGAAAGAGAGAGAGAGAGAGAGCGAAAGAGAGAAAGAGAGAAAGAAAGAAAGAAAGCTGATAGTCACCAGTTCATGTTTCAAGAAAGCAAGTTTCATGCTTATTAGCAGGTCCTAAGAGTATTTATTAATATAAAACAGAACCATAAATTGTCACTGAATTATCAGAATACATCTCTGGACCGTTTAGAATGCTGAGGCTTTTTATATCCCTTTTTGTTGTTGTTTTGTTTTTGAGAATTTATGTAAGAGTTTATTTGAGCCAAATTTTTTCCTTTCTTAAAAAAAATTTCAGTGTTTGAATGAATTGAAAAATGTGTGTGTTGAGGGTGGATATTTGAGTGTAGGTTCTCTGTATTAGAGCAATTAAGTTCTGCCAAGCACTTCTTTATCATTTGTTTTTATTTACTCATAGTGTTCTACGGAAACGAATTCGAGAAGACAGAAAAGCTAACACGGCTCAGAAGGTGCAGCAGATGAAACAGAGGCTAAATGAGACTGAACGAAAAAGAAAAAGGTGGTTATATTGGCAACCTATTCTCACTAAGATGGGGTTTGTGTCAGTCATTTTGGTTGGCGCTTTTGTTGGCTGGACACTGTTTATTCAGCAAAATGTCCTATAAATAAAACAATTTTGCCCAGCAAGCTTCTGCACTAATAGCTGGCAGTGTTGCATTAATCACAAAGGTTTTTCTGTTAGCAAACTCCTCCTACCCCAAAAACGGAGCGGTAGAATAGGCACCACCAGATAAATGATATATTCAGTCTTCAGCCCAACATCTCAGGGCGCTGCCCCAAATTGTAAGTGGCAATCTAAAATAAAGACTTCAATGCCTGTTAAAAACTGATATATTTTGCAACTGTATTCGTACTTGTTAGGCGTAGTATTTCACCTGACCAAATTGAGAAATATCCTTTATCACAAGGATTTGTTTTTGAGCCTATCTGGATTTTAATCTGCACTTGATACAAGCAATAAATATCGTGATTTTTATCTACATTATTACTGAAAAGAAAATGACCTTTAAATAATGCGTGTAATGTATAATGTACTATTGACGTGAGCATCAATAATTTATATTCTTAACCATTTCAGGGTAAATATATTTTATAAGTATCTATTTAATCTTACTTTTGTAGTTAAATGTACTTTTTTAGAAAGATAAATTTGAAAAATTTGTTACCATAAAAAAAATTGTATGTTGGTTCAATTGTACTGGATACATTTTCATAAAGAGAAATTTGAGCAGTTAGAACTCTGAGTAAGCAATTTTTTACCATATGTATGCATTTCTTTTATGTTTTACAGTTTTTCCAATTTTAAAAAGAAAAAGAAAAATTTTCCCTAAAAATACCTTTGAAAGAAAATTCTCCTTACTGACATAGTCAGCTAACACAGTTGGTCAAGTCTTTGTAAAGAAATTGGTTTCTGTAAAGCCCAGTATTAATACTTTTGATTTTTCACGAATTTTCAATGTAACCACCCTAATTTATAATTGGGGTAAATCATGATTTAGGAAATAAAAATAAGGAGCAGCATTTTACTACCATGATTTCATGGTAGACTGAAGTTTTGAAATAAAATATTAAGTTCTTTCTACTTGAATAAATAGTATGGTGATGTACAAACCTTACATTGTCCCTTTAACTTCTT